TGCACAAGAACTATTCATTTTCTTCAAGAAAGAATACACAAAATATAAATTAATGAACACATCTAAGTAGACTAATTAAATAAGTTTATTTTCTATAGAACGAAGAAAAATGATGTCATTTACTGTATATGGATCTATATTTACACTTGACCATAGCCAAACTGAATAAATCAAGAGTCTGATATTGAAACCCCGATCACAATGGAAATGTGAATTAAGTTAAAGTTGTATTAAGCAATCTAATTGATACATTAAGAGTTAAATCACCTCTAAAAGGTTACCTCACTCTTAATGCACCAATCACATGGCTAAATTCAACTGCAATGTTAATTTACTTCTCAGTGTGGTTGGAGCCTAAATATGCATGATTAAAGAAAAAAAAGATGGAACGTTCGTTGTCAGTGGGCATTTCTTATACTAATCAAAGTGCAATTAATCATGATAATGATATGAACAGAACAAGGATGATCATTAAATAAATACGACTGATAAACAGGGGCCGCGCGAATAATCTAAGATTGGGGGGGGGGTGTAAAAGGGTATTTTCAGCAAAGTTTAGCAAAAAAAGTGCAGAAAATTTACCCTTGTTGACGGAAAAAATTGAAAATTTTCAATTATGTGAGGGGGGGGGGTTACACTCCCCATGCTTCCACGGCCCCTGCTGACAAAACGAAAGAAAGAGAAGCAGCGGACGTCCTTTTTCATTCGTCATATCTTATACTAGTCAACTGCCGTCGACCATAGCACTGTAAAACAAAGAAAATAATTTTGAATAACCGAATGAAACTGAAAAAAATGGATCGATTCGAACCGAATTATTCGGCAATTCGATTCAATTTCGGCCTCTGTTTTAAATATATGCATGCAAGCTCATTCTTTTTCGTTTTTCTCCTCTTACTCTTCATCGTCTTCTATTGATATTATTATTTATTTTCTCTTAAATTCATGAAACGACAAAAGTCGCATTATTCTGCATCCATGATCATCGATAAGGTTAGATCAAATCTACATAACACACCTGTTCACTATTATAAGTCGTTTTTACTCATTCAACTTGAATATGACAACACTGCTTTCTTCATTATCGCACGGTTTTCATTGAAAAAAGGTCATCATAAAAATGTTTGTTGATGTCTTCTCATCAATTTGATAGATGGATCAAACAGACGAGCGCAGTATACATATCGAACGGTGGTGTGCGGTTGCTATTAAGAAAACAAATCCCCTCATTCTATATCTATACAGACGTGTGGTCGAGATCGCTTTTTCTTCGTTCTTTTTTTTCCTGACGCTTTGCTGATGATCGATATTTGCTAACGCATACATGCACATACATATATAATTATATATATATCATTATATATATACGTTGATACTACTATGATTTTATATTAATAAGATCGACATAAGAAGTAAAAAAACGATTGTGTACATTAAGACAACAGAGAGAGGAATATTTGATAGAAACAAATATTAAAGCTACCGTCACGACAGCACAACACAGACGACAATGGCAGGCTTATGCCTATATATATATATATAGAAACATGTGTGTGTGTTAACTATTGATGATGAAATTTGCTCTTTTTTTTATTGAAGTATTGTAGTAATAGAATTAGAAAACTGTAGCCAAAAAAAGAAGTCAAGATGAAAAGAACAGGCAACTTGTTTGCCAAACACACACACACACACGTAAATATGTAGATGTGTATCATTGGAAAAGAAGAAAAAAAACTTTATTTACCTTGATTCTTTGCTGTTATTGTTGATTTAGAAATTTGTTTAAAAATATGAGTGACAATGCTTTTAGATTGTTTTATCGAAGATGGATTAGTTGATTTTGAGTGATGATATAGAAGAATATTTATGTGATTATAAATATCATTCAATTTTGCTATTGAGAAATATCTCTGTTCGTTACATTTCAAATTTATGGATGTGTTTTCACTTACAAAGCGCGAAGCATTACCTTTAAAGGTGATCACTGAAGAATAACATGAGTGAAATATGGAGGTTTTTTCTAAATTTGTATGACTGATAGGTTGTAAGAAGTGGTCTGAAATAGTGTACATAGAAGAAGCTAAAAAAGAATAATATAGGATTAGTAAACGTTCGTGCTTCAGGCTAAATATTGCAACAACTGTATGACTCTTATACAAACGTACAACGAGCACATTCAATCGTTCTGGTAAAAAAAAAGTAAATTGACCTCCTAAACGTGTGTTTGACTCTTTCGTTTGTCCTGTAATATCAATGATCATCTAAATTAAATATTAAATAAATATTAAGAGCTACTTGTGTCTTTTTTTTCTTATACATACAACGCACAAAAATCGGTCTTTAAATTCTGAAGCAATAGAGAGAGAAAAAAGAGAGGATAATTCAAACGAATAAAAAAAACATTTATTGCCTACTAATGTTATACGTGAAGACTGATATGAATAGATGAAGAACATTACGGTCATTACGGTTTTAAAATATCGCTATTTCTTTTCTTTTTTTCTGCAACAGAGAAGATTTATTACCATTCTAGGAACCAATATGTATATATATCTAACGTCAATAGGCGTGTCTTATGTGGTTCAATATGGCCTTGATTCATGCGATATATGCACGTCTGACACCATCGACTCTATCGTATCGGCTAATGTTTGACAGCAGGAGACTTTCCAATAATCAATTGTGCTATTTGACACCATTGTGTCGGTTCGACATTGTCTTTCTCTATCCAAATCAATGATTTTCTGTCTTGCACACACGCAAGGTACATTCATTTTCTTGTATGTTTAGTTCATTACACGTGGACTTTGTAGAATAACAAAACGTTGTGTAAAAGAAAGGCAGATACCGAAAGTAAGTAGCATATATCAAGATGTGTACAGTGCACATAATTACATTAGAAGGTATCTACAGATAAATTTCTTTTTTGAAATTTCTATTAAAATATCATGATAACCTTCGCTCTATCATCACATAACATAGCATAACATGCCCACAGAAGGTGATAGAAATCAATATATTTCAATAAATACTAAGGTCTTTCAATGCTCAGGAAATGATAGTTATTAAATAGAATGAGAAATACTCTTTGTTTTTCGAGCATAAGAATTGTAGATCAATCATACTCTCTTGTGTTTACATATTTGAGTATTCTTTGCTTCTTTCTTTCTTTCTTTCTTTCTTTCTTTCTTTCGCTTCTCTTCCTCCTCTCCTTTGCCTCTCATCAGCTGAACTCTATAACACCATACGATCGTTCTGTAGCATCAACAAATAAATTAACATATGTGTTTGCATATTGTTCGCTTCTGTACGTGTGCAGAGTAACAGTGAATCAGCTGTTTTCTACTTGCGCATTTAATTCTCATCTGTTCGTCATTGAAGAATGATATGTGTATATTGTGATTGTCAATATTTATTGTGCGCATAATAATAATAGTAAAATTAATTTCTTGATGTCTGTCAGTTCGTTTTCTTTTGTTTTTTTTTATTCCTTCTATTCGAAGACTGATAAAACCGTGTCTACTTAGATTCACATGAAAAAAAAACGTGTACGTGTAGGATATAGCGTTACAAAACAACACATTTTAACATTTAAGATTTAAGGAGCAAAGAGACAAAAATGCTTATGAGAAATGGCAAATGATACAATACAGACAAAGAAAATGGCAGGTCATCACAACATCAAAAAATAGATAATAGAAATAGAAATAAAAGAAAAGAATTTTTTATATCTTGATTAGTATTTTTTTTTTTCTTGTATAATGACTTTACTCTCTATAACAACAGAAATGGCTTGATTATGGATCATTCTCACAGATAAAACAAAACACAAACCCACACAAGCACATGTTGTCATCTGACTTGACAACAGATTGATAAAAAAAACAAACAAACAAACAAAACAAACATGATTTGCCTATAAATATAAATGAGACTACACGAATAAATATTGCCTACATTTAATTTAAAAAAAAACGGAAATAATAGGAAAAGAAAACAAGACCCGATATATGTCCGTTTCGTTGAATACTTGTATCATCATGTATCAACAATAGCCCGTTTTGGTTCAGCTGTTTTATAAAAAACATTTTTAACAAGTAAACACCGGGGACTTACATATAATGAACTTTTCTCTTTGAATTGTTTGAAGATTTTCATTTCAGGTAAAAATCTTC